AACCGTACCGTTAGGGGTCAAAAGCGCGTAGAAGGACTGCTAATTTGAATCTATCAAGTAGAACCAAGGTCCAAATTACAAGCGTTATTTTTCTATTCTTCTCCCGTGACTAACAGATTGGCACTGTCGCAGACGAGTGCAACCGGGCGTGTGGGTTGGAGGGCTACACTTACTCCGGGCGTTGGAATTCAGAATGTTGCTTCTGTGGCAACGACGTACCAACGACGACTGTAGTTGATATGGACTGCAATGGCAAATTACAAATACTGGTTGATAATAGTTTACCACCCCCTGTGGCACCAAACACAGCAATCGAAGTAAGTAACGTGACAATAGTACTTTTTCTACGACATTCGAGGCTCTGTCTTTTCTGGTTCACGACTACACTTAACCTTGATTTCATGTTTGCTATCTTATGAGCAATGTGGTTAGTGGGCAATTTTTCTTGGTTAGGCTGTTTTCTGTCGAGATCCACGTTTGTTTATGCAGGTAAGGGAGCGTCAAAACAGTACGTCGAGAAAGTATACCTGTTGTACATTGTCAAAACGAAATCGGCGGTTCTCAGTAATTGAGGACTAGAAAAGGACTACGAATGTCACGAGTCACATACAGTGCACGCTGTGCACTGCAACATATAGGGAATTTAAGAGCGGTGACATCCGGCATCAAACGATGGTTTGAATATTTCTGCAATGAATACCCCTCTTGTAGGCAAGTGTGGACCAAGGAGCATCAGTTGGTCTGTTAACCCGCAACTTATACATCACCTTCTCAATGATCATGTACTTTTCTTTGTCCACTAGCTGAACCATGAAAAGTAAAAAATGACGAAGTTTTAACGTTTCCCCAATATTTCTTTAGAAAAAATCATCTTTTGCGGATTCATATTTGTTAAAAGCTCATCAAATCTACCATTCATCTCACACGTCAAGCAAATTCACTTAGAGAAAAATGGTGATTTGAATAACTGATCTGTCCTGGCCATGCTCCTAGATATTCTCTATGCCGCCCCTTTACCATCCCGAATGAGATCAGCCGGGTTTAAGAAGCAGGGACATTCAGTAAAGAATTTTGAGCGTAATTGCCTTCTTGGTCCTGCACCTGCATTTTGGCCCCAAATACCTCCACCGTATTCCTGAACATGTGTAAAATGACATCTTTATTCTCGTGTAGACACCGTTTCTTCTAGAAAAGGGGTAGAAAAGCTGCATCATTTGGACCACTTCTCCTATTCACCAGTATGTTTTCATAGCCGCCAATTCATGCCTCAGAGGTAAGATTGGCGTCCGTAGGCTATGCTTCTGTCGGAAATGGAACCAGATCAGTTCATAGATGCTGCTTGTAACGATGTGTCCATTGTTCTTAGTCTGACGTCAGATACCTCGAAATGCAACTGCTGTTCGGTTAGGGACTCTTGGAGGAATTCCTAAGGGACCATCATGATGCCCAAAAGCAATTCATTGCGATCCCGTTATCCAATCTGTTATGACCTGCTCTGCCGTTGAATACGACGCCCACTCGACAAATCTAGGAGCAGCAGAAAAGAGCGTCCAATATTGCAACACTGATATACTTGAGGAAACAGAAGCCAAACACAAATCGATAGAAAACCGACCCATGGTAATGGCGTAGATATCCGCCGGGGTGACTTACTCTCATGAGTAGTCATCACACTTCTGTTTGTTAACCCGTCAGACAATGAACCAGCTCAGGACGTGCGCGGTATAACTCTGAAGAAAACTGTAGAGTTAAAAGTCAAAAGTCGGGAAAATACAAGTCGATGATCATGACTGATCCTCTTTAACATAATCACACTAACATTTCTCCTTTCGTGTCAGTACAGGACATCACAGAAAATATGATTATTCACACGGTTACATGGATGACTTTATTTTCGTTTTCCTTGTCTATTGTCAAGGGATATCTCAAAATTCCACGCCGAATGGAAAACAGTTAAACCATATTAAAACCAAGTCATACTAAAAATGGACTAGAACTGAATTCTAGGGTTGCTAGTTAGTATATTTTCAGTTCTTTACGTAATCAAGGCTTCAAAAAACAGTAATTCGCCCTGGAATTATCGAGGAGCCAACAGCCCAAAGAAATATTAAAAAAAACTATTTACTCAACGCATGTCTGAGGAACTTCGGTTCTATAGGATGAACTGGTTGTAGAAAATCTGGTATCCTTTTTTTGTTCAATAACTCGAATACAGTAGCATTTTAGGACATGAACACCTAGTCAGTTCAACGAAGAGGACAAAATCACATTTGTCATTGACTTTATGTATGACGGGTGATTAGAGGTTGCCTAACTTGCTTGTACATTGAACCCCTTAGTTGCACTTCAAACTAGCATGGTCGCTCTATACTGATATATATATATATATATATATATATATATATGCCGTTGGGTTTAAAAACTTTTTCATGGCACTAGGTTTTGCGTAGCCTGAGCCATATGTTTAGGATAGATGAATAAAGCAATGCATCTATCGCTTTCCAGTCGGAATGGTACATGGAGTTACGGCTTATTGGTCATTAGCAAGCTTTATATAAAGGGTAATCCGTTTTCTTAGCAACATCAGGTTGTATCTCAAAAGCATACTATTGAGAAAGCGTTATCTTATTTTAATCTTAACGTAGCGATTATGTTGAACGAACTGCACCCAAGTCTACGTTTCCCTTCACAGCTTTTGGCCAATTCAACCACATTGCTTGGCAATCAGGTAGCCTCAATAAGTATCAGCTTATTCCCCGAAATAACGGCTGACAGAACGCATAAAATATATTTCGGAGACTTCATCGAAAGGACCGAGGTCATTGCGGACGTTTCACGTCCACTGATCGCGCAGTACGATCGACCGGGATCCAATTGGATGACTGTGTATCAACAAGATACGAGCGGAACTAGGGTGAGTGACGCACTAATGCGGGTCATCAGAACATGCTTGCTGTCTGTCTAAATCGCGGCACTACCTTTATTCATATAGTTTACTTACAATGTCTACTCGAATGCAATTGTCCTATCTGACTTTGATTCTCTAGTTTAGTTGCATTGAGAATGTTTACTGACAGCCTTGACCAGATTGAAGCACTCAACGTTTTTTTTAGAAATATCCGCTGTGCTGATGGATTCGAGACGATATTTTAACCCGAAAGCAATAAACTGGCAGCCTCATGATATTTACATTCACAGACGGAATAATAAGGGGACATCCATGTTTACTTCAATGATCCACAGCTAACGGTTAACCCACCATACGGAGCAAAACAAACTCTCCCGTATGTAAACATCCGACTTCAACGCTCGACCCATCCGGTGCTATCCCACTGGGGTAAATTTTGAAATGAAGTAGCAGGATGAAAAATACAGACGACGAAAATCTGAGCACTCTGGTTGATTTTTAAGTGTCAGTGACACGCGCGTTTACTATAACAGTCGAAAAGTCCCATTCTGAAATCAGCATGAGCCCGAATAGACAAGATTATGGCAACTCTTTATTGTTTGTGTAAAACTAATCACGACCAACAAAATGGCAATCTCTAAAATAGCGTAAAAATAATTTTCTTCCCTCAACCACCAAAGCGTCATCCGTTATGCACAAAGGTGATTTAGTGTACAGGGTTTTGCGAAATCTACTGTTTTGAAAATTTTTGAAAACTGAGTAGTATCTTTAATTCGAGACAATGATTTGGACCGATATGGTGTTAATTGTTAACTGTTAACATTACAAAGGCAGAGAAAAATGTATACGCTTGGGAGTGAGTGTGCCCGTTGAGTTACTGTTTACGGACGTAAATTTACCAGCTAAAACAATGGTTACATACGGTACGGTGCATTATATGCCATGAAAAAGGTCTGAAAATAAAAAAAGACAAATGAAGAAATTTTATTATTGCTATCGGGGTCCGCGTGATCCCCAGGAAGCCTGACTTGAGACACTGCAAGATACGGCTGCCAATCGATGGCAGAAACGTTCGTGTTTGAATAAGGGTCTCGAGGTGTAGGTACTTCTGGATGATTGTGGTAGACCAGCAGTAAGCCCCTCCCTTATCCCTTCTTTTTTCACAATAAGGCTTTTAAATAAATCATGGTTGTAAGGCACCGAAACTCCAGTATTGAACCCTGGTGTTATGCTATCGACAATGGTGATGGTTTTTGTTGCAATTACTCTACGTCTCTGGTAAGTAGGTGGAAAATAGCAACAACATTATGTATAGCATGAATTTGGTTGAGGACATGCATATTGCAAGAGTTGCCCTGGTAGCTGATTACTATGCATCCATGATGGACCATACATCATACTAGTCCTTCTAAACACTGCCTTTGTGGGTGTCCTGTTAATTTCTCGTCGTTCTGGGTTGCCAATCAGAATGAAGGGATTTTTTCGGATAAGCCCCGCCAGAAAATTAATACCTGCCACCCAAAGGATATTAGAAAAAAAGAGGATACAAAATTCGTACTTTTAGCTTTTAGTGAAGAGAGTGAAATTGGGACATGTCATTAATAGTTTGCATGAAAAGGTCTGTTTTTCGGTATCTTTGTCTCCAAACGAACTCACACAGGTAGCTGTCCACTAAAGATCGGTGTGTGCCACATTGGCGTTTATTCCGCATCTTGTAGACGTGCCAAAGAGATTCGATGGTTTGTGTGTGAACTCCAGTCGTTGGATCCACAAAGGTTTCGGTGTAATTAGCCGTTTCATGAGTAGAATTCATGTCAATCATCGTTTTAATTCCTCGGTATGATGTCCACATATCGGAGATGATGATTGAGCCGGGAGAGATGTAGACCTGGAGTGTGTCCATCAAAGTGGCCGCAGTTCGATCCGGCACTGCATAAATGAACACCCCTTTAGTTTCCCGGCAGATCCTTCCGAAAATCCACTGCTGGGGAAGGACTCGCCTTGTGTGGTTTTTACAGAAATATATTAGCGTTTCATCGATCTCGACGCGTAGACCTGGGTCGATGATAACTGTTGAAGTCTCCAAAAGCCGCCAGGCGCAAACTTCGCGAAGAAAGTTCTTCCAGTCAACAGTGGTCGTGTGGTTTGTGTGTGAGCTCCAGTCGTTGGATCTACAAATTTTCCGGTATGGTTAACCGTTAGAGTCTGAAAGAGCCGCCAGGCGCAAACTTTGCGAAAAGAATTCTTCTAGTCAACAAGGGTCGTGTGGCTACTAGATAATTCCTCTGAGCAGAATTTGTGTTTTGCTAAATTTTTGGACCAGCAATTAATGGACAGAAATAATATCTTACACTCCATCATAGACAAGTTCATTTTCGAAGACCGATTTCTTGCCGACGCTATCGGGTATACACCCCCACGTTGAAGTCTCCAAAAGCCGCCAGGCGCAAACTTCGCGAAGAAAGTTCTTCTAGTCAACAGCGGACGTGTGGCTAATAGATAATTCCTCTGATCAGAATTCGATTTTTGCCAAATTTTTGGACGAGAAATAAATGAATAGAAACACTGTCCTAAACTCCACCCTAGACCACTCCAGCCAAGTTCCCTTTCGAAGACCGATGTCTTGCCGACACTGGCATTACATCTTCAACTGTCAGAAACAGTTGAAAGTGTCATTTGGTGGCCATTGTTGCATAAGCGTTGCTGATGCATCACTCCGTGGCTTTGCAAAAAACGTATTGCCGTCTCCTTGTCATGAACGAGAGTTGAAAGCGTCAGAAAGTTCATTTAAGATTTTATGTCCGAACGGGAAAAATTTTGCACAAAATGAGCCTAGATGCGGCGAGGCTTATCTGGAAAAGATCCAAATGAAATCTATGAATGCATATTTTGTATGAAACGACCCACGTAACCACGAAGCATTATGTGGCGAAATTTGTTGTTATTCTTCTTCTTGAGTTTGTGCTGGTCACAACCAGTCCACACCAGTTCATTCACGGTATCCAAGACCCCGTTAAAGCTGTGACCAGGCGTTGCCATAAGTCACAAATTTATTGTGACTATATATGTAACGGCTCAAGGATGAAATATCCAGAAGAGGAACAATGATCTGGGTATATGGACTGGGGCGCTGATATCCTGCTATATCCTTTCTATAACTCTTCTCTTCATAATGACAGATAATGGTAAAATATTCTGATGTAGTAAGCAACCACCATTCTCTCCTCCGTGTTACTCATATTATAATTTGTTTACCACAGAAAACGAATCCAAAACAACCAAGAACCCTGCTTTGCAGCTTTGGTCCCTGAGAATTCGCTTTTTCTCGTCACGCCATGTAAAGTAAAAAGCAGCCATTCGAGACAGCAGATAGTACTTTTCATGACAACCGAAGACAACCAAATGATTACTTGAAACTTCGATTCATGTGTCGGCTAGGGGAAATTCTCGTTGTTCTTCAGTTTTAGACTCTGAAGAAGTCGAATAAATCATCGGGTTTCTTTGACCGTCCAATACCGACTGGGGCCTGTTGTTTATTTGAGCTACCTATCTCGACAAATTCTGCGGTAAAGAGATCGATGTAATCCCTTGTCTCAGAAGGGTTTTGAAAAGAAAGTGTTCATCAAATTTTTCCTTCGGACCGTTTTCGTTCCACCAAGTCTGCTTTTTATTCCGATGTCCAAAAGTGTACACATAAGTTCCGTATAAACGAATGATAAACACCTGCGTGCTATAATTTCGCTGACTCAGCTGGACTAATCTGTCGGCTGTATCGAAAAAAGTGTTCTCTAGTGAATGCCTGATTATGATGAGAAACAGGAATTTCGACTGCTGAGCAACCTGGAGTTGCTACTAGATCGAGTAAGCCTCAGAATCAGTCATCCGTTAGATCAATGAAGTGGTTTTAAGACCGTTGTGTTTCAATCATCAGGCCCAAATCGTGTCTGTGCTACACCTGGTTCAACGGCTTATCTCCATCACTGATAGTTTATTCAACCCAAGGTAAGCAGCATTGAACCTGAGACCACCTGAACGTGATGCGCCCAGTTTTCTCCCACAAATCATGAATTATTATCACTTTTTTGTTTCTTGACTTGGACCGATAACTTCTTGAGTAAAAGCCAACGTTCTCTTGCGTCTACCCTACATTTCACACTATGGATACACCATTCGTCCTATATGGATAATATCAGTCTTAGGAGAATCTGCGAGGGAACCGATTTCGTCTTTCTATGTTTTCGTGATAGTAAAAGTCTTCATTTATGTGGTTAAAGGTTCCATCAGTAATCTAAAGCTCAGTTCACACGATCGATAAAGCGAATAAGCGGATAGCTACCCACTCAAAGTACCTCGGATCATTGTCAGATTTCGGTTAAATGCGGTCCACATTGTTTGTTCAATCCTGTTTTACGACAACAAACGGGTTTTGTTGATTTCTTCCGTGAATCTGTTTGTGTAATGCTGAAAAAACGGTTATGTATCTTAGTGGATCAGGACTGTATAATCAAAAGTTTGCGGGTGCGCACTGTAACTGCCGCGCTAAGATATTGCAGGCACAACCACTAACCCTCCCCAATAACTCACTGATGACTTCACCTCGATTGGTGATGAAACGTTTGCAATCGAATTGCCCAGCTCAGCGAACAAGCCAACAACCACATAGGGCGAAATTCAGAAGAAAGAAGGTAGAAGTAACTAGCAGAATGATGACCAAAGTACCAGTGGAAGCTGATGGCCGATTTAGGGCAATGCAACTTTATGGAACATGAGTAGATTTACTACCTATGGTTCATCCAACTTATTGACAAATGTCAGCGATTTAGTCGTACGCAAAACATTAAATGGGATACTAATAGTTAGGCTATTTAAATATTTCGATTGTTTTCTATTTCCTTCCAAAGTTTGTGCTGACTCAGAAAGAGACTTCTCCTAGCCTTGTTTCACACTACCTTCGTTTTGGAGCAAACTTTAAGCATGTCTTACTTGGAATAAGAAATAGTTTGGCTGCTTCTGAATGACACCCAAAAGTGCAAAACCTGAGATAGTAGCTGCTACATCGTGGGGGGCAAAAAAGTACCACCTACGTATACAGTTAACAAAAGAATAGCAGAAATAATCTTCAGTTTCCGGAACGACATCAACCAGAAATTGTCGCTCAACGCTTACTTGATGGATTGATTGCATGGTATGAACCTATAAGTTTACCATGGCTATATTCAACATGCTAGTGTTTTCGATGGCCTTTTGGCGTTTCCAGTGATCTCTGGTTCAATCCTCTACTTGCTGAACGGTTTAGTGATTAGATCTGCAAAGCAGACAAAGATCATTCTCCTCGAAACATCACAAACGAGTTTATGGTTAAACACATCCTCAAAGCGTTCTTCTTCCCCCAGCTTGGCGCAGGCAGTCTGGAAATCTTGTCCATTCAGCAAGTCTCAAGCAGTGACTTGACACTTGAGTGCCCGAAAACCGTATTGCAGAATTCTCCCATTTGGTGCAAGGCCACAGTAGCTGCCGGTACCCACTTGTATGGGACTATGAAGTTTGGTACTCAAAAGCAGGAGCCGTTCTCTATAACAGGTAAGTACTTGAGTCTGAGTTTAGCTATGCACTATGGTTTACTTCCAACAGTGATGGTGCCGACAATGTCACAGAAACACTATTCGCACGTTTTTTTTGTAGACGAGGAGAATAAGATGATAGGAAAATTAGGGTAAAGAAATGAGCCCAGATGAAACCAGCTTTTGTAGAGAGGAAGTCCTCAAACTACGGAGTGTTTGGTCTCAGCATAGCAGAAATGATGCTCAAATGAGATAACTCAACTGTTGCCTTTATTATTGGTCAAGCCTCGAAGTAGGTCATTAGCCACCGGTGTGATTTGGGGGTGATTCAGACGTCCTGAACCGTCTCCTAGCCGTGGAGTTTAGTAGGTCTCTTTGCCAGAGTCTCTACCGTCTTGTTTCACCACGAAGAAGCACAAACTTAGCGTAACGTGATACTTGGTCAGCAATTGGACGGCTTGTCGACAAGGTCTCCTGGTCTCCCACTTTGAAGGTTGGAACTTGTGTAACAAGTTGACCGTAAAAGTTCGCAACAAATACTGACACCTGCACATGAATTTCGTTTTCACGGGAGACCCAGGTGAATCGTTCGTTTATGACGTTCTTCAAATGAATGTGCTACACAAAGGCAGCCTCATGTTTCAGCTGGTACCACATTTGGGATATTGAAGTATCATCTTGGCTATGACTAGCAGCTTGATGTTTCTGCTTGCGCCTCCCATTTGTGTGCAGTGTATGCAGTCACCGTTCTTCCCTCACTGTGAGTCACACCGCTCAGTGTAATCTATAACTGTAAGAACACTATGTTGAACCCAGAAACCTCGGGTTTTAAAAGCCTAACAACTCCTCCAATGCCTTTGATTCCTATAAATGGAGCCGCGTTGCAAAGTGTGCAACAGGGGGGATTTCGTATGGAGTGGTCTGACGAATGCACCAAATTCAAGATGGTAGGAGCTAGCTAGTCCACTATCAACAGCCGGGTGTTTTGTCTGGTTTTCTAAGGTTTAGATACTTTCAAAAAATTTGGAGTTGTTAGCAGAGAGCCATTTATCAGAAACAAGTAGCAATTTCGTTGGTCGAATCCGAAAAAAACAGGTTCAAACTTCCAAATTCATGTACTTCAATCTACTTAATCGCCACGTTTTTGTCGATGCAGAATTTGACGAGATTTCTAGCACTCGGAGTATACTCCTAAGTGTAACGAACAGACCTCTTACTCTGTGTACGATCAACCGGTACGAACAACACGCCTTACGTACACCATTCGTCAGAAAATGTACACAAGACGTTCACTTTTAGTATGTTGATGAAAAGCGGCTCTGCTCTCTGTATCTAGCCTTGGGTCATGTGACAGGGACTAAAGACTATCGACTTCAGTCCGTACATGCTGAACACCGAAGTCCAATGCGGTTTGTTGTACGCTTTCCCATCGTGCCGCTTAAATAAACTTTGTGGTCATACTGCAACTAGATGCCAACCAGATATAGTCTGTGTCAAAGGGCAGTAAACAATATCATCGATCATGAGAGCCATATCGGCGAATCCTCCTGCGATTCCCAGAATTACTTCTGTAGCGCACAGGTAAGGCTTGAGGTAATAACTATACTTATTGTGTAATTGGTTGTGAGTAACGAAGACTACGCTTCCCCCGTTTGAACAAATACTAGTGAAAGGTCACCTGAAGCCAATGCGCTTTACAGAGGTAATGTCTGATACGATACCCACTTAATCAGACTTCGCAGTCTCTAACTTCTAGCTTCACTGGCAGCGCTAGCCAGGGTAGCCAGATAACCGAGCTCACCTCATTCCATAGAATTAATCAATTAGTCTTTTATTCTCAGCGGGACACATGGATGAACTGGGATTTGCACAGTAACTTTCAGGTACCACATTACCATAAGGTATCAAGTGGAAATGTTAAGTTGGACGGCACGACGCAAAATCCCTCAGAAATATGAGATGAAGTGACCAACCAAGGCTTTGGATGATGTGTTTCTTATCGTGCATGTGACACGATCGCAGCAGACTTGAATTTAGTCATTCAAATAACTTAACTGACTTCCTGTGCGACAAATCAGCCCGATCCCATTTGCATGGCGCAGGTGGTCGCATAATGTTTTGGTAAACAAGGTACAAACGCGCATAGTTACCGAAATGATGTATCATTAAGATGCCAATTTTTAAGGAGAAACCTCCGGAGATTTTACAACCATCAGAATCTTATCAAGCGCTGTTATACGACTGATCGTTAAATTTACCAGTAGGAACTTCAAGGGTACATAAATAGGGCCTGATTTGGATTTGCGATTTACCGGGGTAGTTTCCGGGCCAATAAAAGCTGCAATAGGTGCACGATATGATCATTTGAGATGTGTTAATCTTATACTTGACGGGATTCCTCACGTTATAATTTATTTACCGTTGCACATATTGACACCATTCTTCAGCTCACGGTGGTTCCTGGATGCGAATGTCAGCCTCGCGCCTCAATACCGACTCCCAGCAATGCCCAACAGAGAAATTTCTTGTTTCTGGGACCAGCGCGCGCTATCCTGGTCGGTTATCTGAAATCGACTTCTACGCTACAGCGACTGGGTCATTCAAGCTCATAGTAAGCTCTTAGGTGCATGTTTTTAACTGAGCTTTAATTGATGATATTTGTCAAAAGGACAGCATTGTGATAGCCAAACAGATATCAGTGTCAAGAGATCAATTTCCCTAACTGAAAAGTGTCACTAGCGGGCACACTGATGGTTTCTCTTGAAGCCTACTCTTATATCATCCAGCCTTGTTCCGAGTGTACTAAGCGGTTCACCTCAAATTATTTTATGATTACTGTTTCGTATATGAACCCCCTCATTTGAGTATCATATGAATCGAGTAGTCTCCACTTCCAGGAAATTTCGGTTTTCCATCTTATGAATGTGGGCCCTTCGCGAGGTGCATTGAACCGAAATGACTCTCCGTTCATTCTTTCGGAAGTTTTACTCTTGAAATCGTCCAGCATATTGTCGGTTTTGTCCAATCCACTATGCTTTACCCCTTTGCAAGTATTCTGCATCCATATGAATAGGTGCCAAACTTGTACTTTTACTTCAGTGAACAAAGATTTATAGAAAGTTTACTATGGTGTGGAGTTCTTTAGTCAATAAAGCGGAACGCGTGACGCTTAGAAATTCAAGCAAAAAGTTGTCTTTCAAACAAAACGAACCTGTCTCACTATGGCTTTTGCAAAGTGAAATGTTTGGAGAAGAGATCGACCACATCACAGTGCGTTACCGACACAAGTACGAGTCCCCAGGACTCCGAAGGAGTAGTTCAGCGAGTGCATATCACGAGGAATCACACAACCGAGAATTTCGCCTGCATCTGTTTGTTTTTTGCTACTATGATTGACAGTTTTATCGAACACACAACTGGCACCATCCCACATGTGCGGAATTCAGCATAGCCAACTTCTAGGAACATATGCTGAACTTTGGTTCCTACGAGAACGCTCCAGTCATTAAAATCACTACTGGCTCATTCGCATGCTAAGGGTAAAGAATGGGGCTAAGTTGGAACTTTCTATCCAAACCGCTCCAGAGATTATGAAACGCCTCGGGAATCGAACTAGCCCATGATCCTCACGGGAACTTCCATGTAATCCTTCTAACTCCACATTTTTTACACTTCCATATCGAATAACTCAAAGATATACCCACCAAATCCACCGTTTCAAGCAACCACGTCCAACAGTCGAACAAGGAAAACAACAACCTTCGGTGCTATTTCGTTCCTCTAACCAGCAACAATTCAGAAGCACTTTAGTCTGTACCAGTAAATTTGAGGGGTCAACTATTCGCCGTTTGTTAGGATGGATGGGAATAGTGGGTAAAGAGCAGGCACAGTAAAGCAAAAGCTTTCAAATAATGGGCGTTCTGATGCAGCAGAAATTCCCGGCGGCAAGACACGTCACATACCAAAGAACCTTGAATTTCAAAGGTAGATTTGAGTCCCAAGTAGATCCAAAAGCAGCTTTGTTGTGCTTACCCATTTTGTGGTGGTAGAGGACAGTTTATTTATCTAGATATCCACCAAAGTGAAGATAAATGGTGAACATGATACAAACGTACGGATATAAACGCATTCGAAGGCGAATCCAGCAGAGCCGAACAGCAGTCTCCTTGTATGGGGTAACATAACTAAAGTGCTAGAGCAGCGGAGCTAACTGCAAAAGTGACAAAAACTAGTAGAAGCTCATCCAGAAGCACATTTGCTTCAGTGAAGTAATGCCAAATGATATAATCGGGCTTCAGTTTTTAGTATCTCTCGAGGTGAAAAACCACCTGTACTTAGTTCCAACCGCATGCACCCTGATATAGTAGCTCATGTAACGGAATCACGGTATATACACCGAAATTCCCCCTCTATCCGATAGTAGAATTGGCCTAGAACGGAAGACCTTGTTACCTCTTCAGAGATCATCAACATGTTCAGAAACATAAAGGAAAACTTCGGAAAATTTAGCGCACAGTACTATATCTCCCAGGAGTCGAAAACGCTTAATTGTCCGCCCTATAAGGATCCTGACTCTAACGAAGTGAATCTGCAGCATCGCTGACAGTCGGCTGGACTTCACATATCTTTTTACGCCTTATATTCATGTACAACAGTTTGTCTGTTTCACAAGCCCCATTCACTCTTTAACTCATCCACATCCGCGAGGGACTTAGGATTATGCTACTGAAGACTACGCATCCGAGGCAACCACGTTGTCCTAATTTTTCGTTATTCAAGTTATGGTATCGAAGGCCACAACTCTGCCATTGTATCCAAACGGCCATCGGCTGTTTCGTATGGCATATCTAGTATAAGGAAGTGACTGCAGTTTTCTTGCAGAGTTACCAAGTGAAAAGGCATAAAGTGGTAACATTAATCGAAGCAGCATCAGTCCCAGGATAGTGGATATTCCAACTGCCCTAGAGATTTTATGCGCAGTTAAACTCTAAAATGAATGGATAAACGCGGAGGCTCTTCGCAAAAACGCAGCTGGCTGTAACGCTAACATCTGTTCTAAGATGCTCTCTCCATGCTGACAAATTTTTGAGTCCGCTGTCTCAGTAATTTTAGGACCTTATGGACAAAAGTATTACCTCAGGGTAACGTGAAGGGAGAGTCAACAAACCTAGCTACAAAAGTAGAAATAGATTCGGTTTAGCTAAGTATGGGTCAAAACACTTCTTTCTTGATGTTAACGACAATATCCGTCCTACCGTCAAATGTCAAGTCTTCTTCATGTCCAGTGGTGTTTGGAATTTCTGCTCGAAGAACACCTACGGGACTTACAAGGGACTAAAGACAGCTGAGCATCTTATCCACCTGTGCGCCTTGGCTTAAAGAATTCCACCGTACTCAAATGAACCCAGAAGAGACATGTGTTTTTACAGTATGTAGTCATTTGTACGCAAACATGCGCTCTACAAGTAATTAAGTAAGCAAGTTGTTATGTTCTCTACTGATCAGTCAATCAACCTTGTCAGTTACACACGGAATTGAGAAGACAAAAAGCCTTGAGGAAATTATACTGCAGCAACTGAACAGCCAATGTCGAGATTCGAAGAATCAAGAATGGAATGGAACAAACAGTCCAATGAAAGGCTGAAACAGAGAGAGAGAAATGTTGAGCAATATGTTCGTTAGGAGTGCCTCCTAACACCTCCCCTTTGAAGTCATTGTTCGTACGACTGGAGTTGTGGGTTCAGTTGCATTCGAATGACAGGCTTCCTGATCCGGTCGGTCCATCTTCTGGGTGTACAACTTTTGGAAATTCCTGGTTCATTCATCGGCTCTGGAGATTTTGGCTGTTGAGCTAACTCAAATGTGTCGAGAAGAGTCT